ATCACCCCCCCCACACAACACCGTGCGCAACCTTCTACATCTCCATATGCCCAGGCACTGTGCCGCGGCGGGTGGCCGGCGGGAAGCTGGACAGGCTGACATACAGGAAGGCGACTGCCCTGGAGTGCCTAGTCGGCTTCCTCCACACCAGCCAGCCGGAGCGGTGCCTGGAGGTCCTGCACTCGCTGCATTATCTGGCACCGTATGAGGTGCCAGACGTCTCGGCATGACACTGAGTATGACCGACCCGGGGGGGGCGCACCTCAAGGTCCACATCCCCTCTCCTGTCCGACCAGAGTCCCATGCTATTCTTACGCGGCTGGTATTACTGGCAGGCTGTCGCAAAATAGGCGTGGTGTACAAGGAGGGGAGATCACAGGGGTTGAGCCTGGGAGGCTAGGGTGGTGGCATGGGGAGCTCCGCTGCGCCTAGAAGGCACAGGGAAGCCGCTCACAAGTCGGTCGGGGAGAGCTGCACGGCTGCGTCTGCAGCGACGGCCTGCTGCGAGCTTCGGATGTGTCGTTCCTGGGGCACAGGCGGGATGCGGCTGAGAGTGGCGGCCGATCAGTGCCATGCAGTGGTCACAGGAGCGAGCACCCGCCCGGCCTGACCTCTGGGCTGGACTGGAAGATGTCTGAATGCACCCCCCCCCTTTCCTCCCTCACCCATATCCCCCCCACCTCGCTCTCATTCAACTTCTCATCTCTGCAAAGGGAGGGTGGGGAGGTAGGTGTAATGCCCAAGCACCAGAGAAGCAGGGAAATGCAAGGCACTGCAAACTATACCAGGGGGTTCCACTTGCTCCCATAACCATGCTCTCCCTCCCTCGTGCCGCACCTGCTCTGCTCATTCATATGCGCCTCTGTCATGAGCTGCGTGTGCAGGTGGTGGGATGCAAAACCTTTTTCCTCATGCTCGAAGCACTCCCCTCATATTTTTATACACAGCAAAGTGCACTATAAAGGCACTGTGGAAGGACACCCAAACATCCTCAGAGTCCCTGCTGTCGCCACAGACTACGCTGCGCAGCTCGGTCAGCTACCACCACGCATGTGCCCACCTGGGCCCCTACCACCTCACCGGCATGGGACTTCGCAGGAGCCCCGCCCGGAACGCCGGGGCGGCGAGCTTGGCAGCCTCCAGCAGCGTGGCGCGCACCTGGAGGGGGAGGCTGGCCAGCAGGGCAACGGAGTCCTGTGGGAGCAGGAGTGTGCATGGACAGGAGTGGGTGGGGATGGGTCTGTCGCTGCACCTGAGCGGCTTGAAGAATCCCTGAGTCATTGCAGGGGGCGCCATGCAGAGCGGGAGCTTCCTGATGCGGTCCATATCGCCAAGGGCCAGAGACACCGATGCGTGTCAGCTCTAGAAAGGGGTTGGATTCACGGACTCCACAGTGGCTCGCCGCAGTCATCATCTGGACATTGGATCCCCCCCCCCCCTTCAGTTCCCAGCCTTGCGCAGGACGACTCCTGCACCTAAAGCATGCCCGAACACCTCTCCATCCCCACCCTCCACTCCCAGCCCCCATCCACACCGCCGGGAGACACCGCCCCTCTCACCGCGACGCTCGGCGTGTGGGTGGGGTCGTGGACCCTGGGCCCACCCGGAGGGTAGTCGCCGGAGCATCCGTGGTCCACCTCCTCCCCACTGTCCATGCTCCTCCTCGAGCCGCTGCTCGCCATGAGGCTGCTGTGCGCGCTGTGCACCATCTCCGTGTCCATGAACCGCGCGTACTCACGCGGGCCCTCGCCCTCCTGGCTCGTCCTCTGGCCCAGGTCCAGGTCTGCCATGCCGGAGGGGGAGTCCGACTGCTCGCAGCTCGCCACGGTCCCGGAGTGGGTGGCCTGGCTGTCCTGTCGCAGTTGGGCGGCGCCGGGAGTGAGGGGTGTGAGCCCTGAGTGATGACGAGGGGCTCACGCAAACCCGCAGCAGGCCGGTGCGAGGATCAGTGCGCCAGTGGTGCACGCATCACTTTGCCTCAGCCTGACGACATAGCTTCACACGGGTCTTCTGACCACGCACACCCTCAGACGCGATGGGGCCTCCAGCGAGGGTGCCCTCAAGCACCTCCCGGCTACCATCTCCACAACATGCACACCCTTCACCCACCACGAGCACCTCATAGGTTTCAGCGTGCTCGGGACGCTGCTTGAGAATGGCAGCCAGGTCAAGACTGGACTTCAGGTACGTATTTGATGCAAAGCTTCCTGTTGGCCGAGAAGATGAGGATTGGCTGTTTTGAGGGCGAGGATGGCATGCCTCCTCCCATCAGATAGTTGGAGCCAGCCAGGGTTAATGGGCATGTCGAGATGCCCTTGACCTGACCACCACACGCACCAGCATGCATCCTCTTTAGGGTCGAGTTCCAATGATTTTTCACTGCATTGTCGGTGCGGCCTGGCAGCAGCTTTGCAATGACTGCGAGGGTGTGGGGAAAGGGGCGCAGCTGAGCAAGGCCAAGCGCTCAAGAGTGCTGGGTCGCTGGCTCTTGCTGGCCATGTGCATGCTTATGCACACCAGACAAGAGCACTACGTTGAGACAATGTGCGATCCCGGCCAAGAAGTGCAATGCACCCCTCCCACCGCCACAGGTGCAGCACTCACTTGCCCATTTGTTGCCATGAATTCTGTGACTCTTAATGATGACCGCATCCTCCCAGTGATCAAAGGGCTCCTTTTTCACCTCGGGATTCAGCTGGTTGCACCACCTGAGCCAGGACGACAGGCGAGCAAGGGATGCAAACAAAGTTCCCAACCTAATGGCCACACTTCCTGGTGAGCACGCACTCGATCAACTGCCCTCGATCACAAATACGCAACAGACACACACAAAGTCCCTTTGACACTTGCCGGAGGCGGCAGCTCTTCCCAGATCGGCCCTCGATCCCTGCAGCGATGATACTCCAGTTTTTGGCACCGAGCTCGCTGATTAGACGTCGTAGCAACGCATCCTCCTGCGGCGTCGATCACATGAGTATAAGCTATCATACTTAGGTCTTGCATGTGATGGATGCAACGTACGATACATTTCGCAACAATCGTCACTCGCCTCGGTAGTCCAGGCCCCCCGCTTGTACTCGTCCGGTTTTCCCATGGATGCAAACTGGAGGCGGGGAACTTGTCTCAGATCACTTCCATCGACTAATCCATGTGCCTGTAGGTAGGTAGCTCGGATGTGCCAGAGTCTCGTATCCCGAAGCCCACACATGTGGCTTGCCTGCTCTCGTGAGCAGCTGCAGCTGCGGGATACTTGAAAGTGTCTGCGGGGCGTGCTGCGCTGGGTCCCGGGCCACCGCGACCAAATGTTGACCTGCCCAGCTCGGCGAGACTCGGTACTGCAGCTCCGCTCTTCAGATCGTATCGGGCACAACGGTTCATTACTTTTCCTTGGCAGATCCTGAGGTCCCCCAACCTTCCCATCATGGCTGGTACTGAGACAGGGGCGACAGCGGTGATCCGAGGCGCCCGCGATGCGGGCATCGAGGTCTGCTTCGCCAATCCAGGTGGGTCAGGAGCGCACATCGGGTACCGGTGTGCTTTTATCCCAACAGCAACACGCACCAACCCCCCACCCCCCTGATCCCAACCCCTGCTGCAGGGACCTCCGAGATGCACTTCGTCTCGGCCCTGGACCAGGTCCCCGGCATCCGCGCGGTGCTGGGCCTGCACGAGACGGTATGCACCGGGGCCGCCGATGGGTACGGCCGCATGGCGGGCAAGCCGGCCATGGCCCTGCTGCACCTGGGCCCCGGCCTGGCCAACGGCCTGGCCAACCTGCACAATGCCCGGCGGGCCCGCACTCCCACCCTGGCCCTGGTAGGGGACATGGCCACCTGGCACCAGCCCGCCGACGCGGTGCTGGCCATGGACATCGACTCCCTGGCGCGCACGGTCAGCGAGGAGGTGTACCGCGCGGGGGCCGGGGGCGAGGACTTCCGCCGCCTCGCCGAGCGGGCCGCGGAGGCGCGGGGGGTGACCACCCTGGTGGTCCCGCACGACGTCTCCTGGACGAGGGTGCCTGCGCCTGAGGATGGCGTCAAGGGGGAGGGGAGGGAGGGCTCGGGGCCCGGCGCCGCGCCCGCACCGCCCCCCGGGACGGAAGAGTTTGTCAGGGACCTGGCCGCTGCGATGAGGGCGGCATCCCGGGGACGCCTGGGCATCTACTGCGGCGGAAAGGCGCTCATCGATGCCGGTACGTGGGTGCGGCTCGGGCGGGCAGTCTGTATGGTCATGCATGTTCGGGGGAGGGTGAGGCAGGTGCTGCCTGCCTCTGCGTGCCAGCCTGGGGTGGACTGGCTCGACCCTGTGGGCCGTGATGATCGACCGTCACCTCGTGACTCGGGTCCAGCATCGCGATCCGTCCCACTCGCACACCCAGAGGGCGCGCTGCGGCTGTTGGGCCAGATTGCAGCGGCCTCCGGGGCCGACCTGCTGTGTGAGAATTCGTTCGCCAGGGTCGACCGCGGCCATGGTCTCCCAAAGTTTCGACGTGTGCCCTACTTCCCCCAGGTGAGGGTGGGAGGCTCACGGGCTCGGTGGTGTGGAGAGGTCCGCTGCAGCTGGTTGCTGATGGGAACTAAGGGAACCCTTCTGTGGCAAGGTGACAGTCAGGATGGTCACGCTCGTAGTCTTCTGCATCCTTCCTCCCACAAAGCGCTGGATCGCATACCGCTGCAGGAAGCATCGGCGGCCCTGGGCAAGTATGAGACCCTGGTACTCGTGGATGCTCGACGCCCTGTTGCCAACTTTGGATACGAGGGCGGTCCCAGTCAGTTGGTCACGCAGAGCGTGAGTGGGCTGGGGCCGTAGGAGCCTGGTTGTATATGGGCCGGGGAAGGCGATGAAAATCATACTGGGGCCCACCTCGTGCGCGCAGTGATGGTCTCGCACTCACTGGAAGGGTGGCATCCATGCCTTTCCCGACTCATCCCAAGCTCAGGAGGAGGCCGTGTGGGAGATCGACGGGGACGCCCACATTGGCACGGTACTCAAGCTGCTAGGCATGGAACTGCAGGCCGGTCGCATCGTGCCTTTCAAGAACTGCGGGGGAGTATTCGCCGGCACGAGTCGGCCGTTGCTGCCCACAGGTGGGTGGGGCAGGGAGGGTGGTGGCCGGGAGGCGAAAGGATGGCTGGCGATGCCGGTGTGCTGCCATCGATGGCGTGCAAGCACCCCTCTGACCCCGGGCTCTACATCTGAAGCTCCGACAGTCCCACCCCTTCCCTCGACATCGACAGGCCGTCTCACCGCGGCTGCCATGTGTGCCACCATCGCTGCACTGCAGCCGGAGGGTGCTATCGTTGTGGATGAGGCGCTCACCAGCGGGACTGCCTACTGGGAAGCCTCCTCCGGCTGCCCACAGTTTTCACACCTCACGCTGACGGGCGGGGCCATAGGAGCAGGTATCCCAATGGCCGTTGGGGCGGCCATGGCGTGCCCTGCTCGTCGTGTCATCAATATTCAGGTGGGCAGCTCTGCTGATGCAGGGAGGAGGGAGGCTGCTCTGGGACGGGAAGTTTTGTGGGCCTGACTAGACGAAAGAACTGGACTTGAAACAATGGATTGTGGAGATTGAGAGCATCTCGTTTTGCACTCTGCTGTGTGCGCGTCACATTGTGAGGAAAAGGCCGGCACACCCACACTCCTTGATCACCAATACCCCGTGCAAACCTCGCGACACACAGGCGGATGGGAGTGGGCTGTACAGCGCCCAGGGTCTCTGGACTCAGGCCCGCGAGAAGCTCAATGTACTGACCATCGTGTGCGCAAATCGGACGTATGCCATCCTCAAACTGGAGCTTGCCAAGCAGAGGATTGCACCCAGGTGAATATGCTGTGGGTGGTATTGGCATGTATCGGGTGCATAAATTCAACACTGGAGGACTCCCAGATCGTCCATTAATTCCTATGTGAGCCTAGTGGACGGTCCAGATACTTGATTTCTTTTCCAAATCACCCTTCACTGTCGTCCTCCCCTCCCATCCCCACCCTGCAGTAACGGCCCGGCAGCGCGGTCACTAACAGACCTGGGTCATCCCAACATAGACTGGGTGGCTCTTGCAGCTGGGTATGGCGTGCCTGCAGTGCAGGCTGGAAGCTGTGAGGAACTCGCCAGGCAAATAGAAGTAGGCTTGGCGCGCGACGGCCCCATGGTCATCGAAGCCCTGCTGTAGATTGAGTCACTGCCAGGCGGTGTGCACAGCAATATGCTCCTTGAGAGGCAATCAAGGAATGTGACTTGCAACACTTGAATGTGGCGTGGTATTGTCCGATGCACGCGTGGTGGGTGTAGGAGTAGGGTTGCTCACCCTGATGTGGCAGTCGATCAGCCTGGGCGCGCGGGCCGTGCCCATCCGTCCCGGTCCGCACCACGTGATGCTAGGGCAGGCACGCTTTTACGAAGCAATCAGCGTCAAACCCAATCTCCTTTACGAGCAAAGTGGCATCGATCGCATCTGTCCCACAGGCGACCCGCCCCATGTCCATGCTCGTCACCTACACCCCGGTGGGTGCCCGGTCCCAGCGGCTCGGGCTCGGGACCCCCATCCGGCCCACCGCCTCCCCAAGCCGGCGTACGGCCCACATTCGGGCTCGTGCCGCCGCAAAGAGCTGGAGCAGCAAGGATGTGTCCCCTCCTTCCTCGGGCACACACTTCTTGCACCTGGACGACTTCTCCAAGGAGGAGCTGGTGCACATGCTACAGACGGCCAAGGATGCCAAGGCAATCCTAAAGTCTGGGGACCAGAGCTTCAAGCCATTCAAGGGCAAGACCATGGCCATGATCTTCACCAAGCCCAGCATGCGCACGCGGGTGTCCTTTGAAACAGGCTTCACCAAGCTGGGGGGAAATGCCGTGTACCTGGGACCAGACACCATTCAGCTGGGCAAGCGTGAGCCAACCAGGGACATTGCCCGGGTCCTATGCAGGTAAGGGGGAATGGGAGCGGTACTCGTTGTTCTTTCGTTCTCTCTCAAGGGCGAAGAGTCTACAATTATCAGTTGGGGCGTTGCCCGCGAGCTAACACTGCAACACCAGCAAAGCGAGACGCCACCAGTCTGCCCTTTCATGAATTCTCTATTGCCAGCGGCCGGCAGGATGCCATCCTCCCGGGATGTACCATTGGACCGTTCCCAGGAACCAGAACCGCTCATCCGCTGCACACCCTCCTCATTTCCCACGATTGTAGGTACAACGAGATGATCATGGCCCGCCTGTTTGGGCACCAGGATCTCATCGACCTGGCCCAGTACTCCGACTCCCCAATCATCAATGGCCTCACAGACTACAACCACCCCTGCCAGGTGGGCAAGAATGGGGGCTGCGCATTGTGCAAGTGTGAGGCGATCAATTGTTTTAGATTGACCGATGCATTGACTCACCAGCAGCCCATTATCGAAGGGGTGCAGACCCCATGGGAGGTGTTGATGACAGCGCCCCCAAACCAGCTATTCCTGGACCCATTGCAGATCATGGCAGACATGCTGACGGCTTGGGAGCATCTAGGACGGCTTGAGAACCTCAAGGTGACATGTTGGAGTATTGGTTACGAAGAGGTGATGCAGATGAACACCATGTGCCAACAGCCTGGGCGATTCGGGGATGGCGGCAAGGGATATGCCCAAGGCTGCGGCGATACCATGCCAATGACTTCACCAGCGCCCTGCCGATCCTGCCAGGAGGGCCCCAGTGCCATCTTGAAACCGGACCGCCCTCCCACACACGCACATGCCCACGCCCCTCTTGCAGATTGCGTATGTGGGCGACGGCAATAACATGGTGCACTCATGGATGAGGCTGGCCTCCCGCATCCCCATGGAGTTTGTGTGCGCATGTCCCGAGGGCTTCACCCCCGACCCGGCCACGAGGGAGCTCTGTCAGGCCACGGGCGTCAGCTCCATCAGCATAAGCCACGAGCCGTTTGAGGCGGTGAAGGGCGCAGATATCGTGTACACCGATGTCTGGGCCTCCATGGGTCAGAAGGAGGAGGCGGAGGAGAGGAAGCGTCAGTTCAAGGGTTTCCAGGTATGAGGCTGGAGAGGTGGTGGGGATCAGGAGTGCATGATGTTTTGGTGTGCTGCTGGTGCGTTGCTACTCTGGTCTGTGATGGACGTGAGGCTGTGAGGATTGACAACCTCAGTCGGCTCCCTGTCAACACACCAGCATGCCCACAGAGAACTGCAACGCTCCCTACACATGTTGCCTGTCCAGGTGAATGAGGAGATGATGAAGGCGGCAGGTCCACAGGCCAAGTTCATGCACTGCCTGCCTGCCGAGCGTGGCGTGGAATGCACAGACGGCGTAATGGAGGCAGGTGCGCATCCCTGGACGGGTTGGGTGTTTGCGAATGCTTGCTGGGCTGGATCTACTGCATGACAGTATGTGCACAGGACGGTACAAAGTTGTCTCTGAGACTACTCAACGCGTGGCCTGCTGACCCAACGTGTGTTGCCGTAACTCTCCGGTGCATCCAGACTTTCACCGTCCTCCCATGCCAGACTAACACTGCACCCCACCCTCTATCATCTTGCAGAGTACTCCATTGTATTCGACGAGGCAGAAAACCGCATGCATGCCCAAAATGGCATCATGCTGCATGCCATGGGTCTGTCCTGAGCCTGGACCGTCATTGCGGCTTCCCTGCTCCGAGAAGATATGCTTTCCAACAGTCCACGCTGTAAAATCATGCTCCCAGGGACAGGGGCAGGCAGTGGTCGAGATCGGCCAGGCGCAGGGCCCGCATCACTTCCTGAAGACGTCACTGAGGTAGGTGCCCAAATTGTGCACATGCCCGCCGGACCCCTGCATGGGGTTACCGTAGGAAGGCGGCGGCTGGTTCTGGTGCTGTTGCGTGGAGGATGCACCGCTCCCGCCGCCATAGGTGTTGTACTGCTGCTGTTGTTGTGGGCCTTGGCTCTGCCAGTCCGATGGAGGAGTTGGGGCGCTGTACCCACCCCCCTGACTCGGTGGGGGGGTGGAGCTCAGGGGTCCGAAAGAAGGGTAGGGTCCTGCGGGGCCGCCACCCTGCTGATACCCCTGCTGTTGCTGCGATTGCTGCCCAGCATAGGCATTGCTGCTGGGGTACTGCTGATGATAAGGGCCCGAAGGGTACTGTCCCTGTGGAGGAGTGCCCAGGGAACAGGCGTGAGGTGGGGCTTGTAAGCATGCACTGCAAAACATATGCACCGTGGCGAACCAGCTGTCTGCCCTATGCCCTATCTGCTCATTGTCACTTGAACTGATCCCAACATGAGCTGCCCAGTGGTTCCTGGCAGTGCCAGAGCCCCCACGTGACTGACCTGGGATCCTTGATGCTGTTGTGAGGGGGGAGGTGGGGGTGGCTGTGGCCCGAGCTGCATCGTTGACATCTGGTTGGAGAGGCGCTGCGACTCTGCCACGCGCCGCAGTTCCTCCACCATCTCATCTCTGCATTATGGGGGAAGGGGATGGTGTGAGGAACTGGAAAAGGAGGCCCATTGGTGCGGTACACCACATTCCCAGGATATGTTGCAAATTCCATGGCCAAGTCAGTACAACACGCCCTCGTGAAAATGAACACAACTGTGCAATCCAAAGGACAGTGCATGCATGCTCACTCGCTCCCGCACCGTTGCATACGACGTGTGAGGATGTGATCCCCGACATGCTGGCGCAGCTGCGCGATGGCTTCCTGTGTCGGGCAAGAGCACGAGGAGAGGTGGGGAGGGGGGTCGCAGAGGCAGCCTGAACGACGCCTGGAGCGACGTGGAGGCCCTGTTGCCGCCCGGCATTGCAATGCCCCTCTGGTACCTGCCATGCTGGCAATGCCCAAGGTAGGACCACCCCAGCATGAACCAAGCAGCAGCCAATCACCTGCAGGCTCATGTAGAATCTCAGGCCCTCTGCCAGGTTGTCCTGCAGCTCCTTGAAGCGTGCACACTGCTGCCTGATGCCCGCGGCAGCACCCTGGGAATGTGAGACAGCACGCACAAGACGGGAACAGGGTGAGTGGTCTATTTACATTGCGATGCAGTGTATGGCCTTGCTGGGAAGAAGGCATGGAGAATTTCCAGAGTTTGTGCGTGCCATTCCACAACCTGGACACCCCTGAGGTTGTCGAGCTGTTGTACACTGAAGCACGCCCGGAATGCTGCCTGCGACTGAATCATGCATGACCACCTTTACAACACACACACTGCCTGCGCACACTCCAGCCCTGCAGTGCCCCCTCTCAACTCACGTTGCAGGCCCGCTTCCAGTCCTCGTAGCCGTAGTCGGCCTTGTAGGTCGCCAGCGCGGGCCTGATGGCTGCCAGCAGCTGGCCCTGCTTGGCCACATTGGCGTCCACCTCGTCCACCAGGTCGTCGTATTTCTTGATTTCCTCCCTGAACAGCGCCTCAGCATCCCGTGGCGCGGCCAGGAGCTTGGGCAGGACGTTGTCCCGCTGCTTGCGTTCCTGGGAGGGGATTGGGAAGGCAATGTTGGGACTGAGAGTCCCAGATATTCTTCCCTGAGCGGCACTGCAAGCTCAGGTGCAAACATACTGAGCGCGGACCGTCCCGCGCTGTGTGGCCATCCCGACAGCGGCAACATGACGGGCCTGGCAACTCAGGTTGCCTCCCTGCAATCAATCCAGACTCCTGCCCGCCCACCCCACTGCCCTTGTCGCACATGCACACACCTTGAGCCCCTCCTCCAGGCTGGCGCGCTGGGCGCTGAGGGTGTCCAGACCCTCCAGCGCCGTCCGCAGCGTTGTGACTGCAGCAGCAGGCCCCATGTTGTCCACGCTCAGCATCGGGGCCTTGGGGCGGGGAGTGGAGGTTGCATGGGGTTTCAAGGAGCGACCAGATGGACACAGGTCCCCACTGCCAGGTGGTTCAAGACAGCAGGGGGGCCGTCTCATCCAGAATGCCCTCCCGAGTGCGCACGTCCCACCTGGAGTCGCGGCATCTCTGCAGCGGCGGCTTCGATGCCCAGCGCAGCAAAGGCCGCAGACTCCCCCGCCAGGCGGCGCTCCAACCTGGTCACCGGGACGACGAGTGGTTAGCTGTCGAGTGTGCGCCAGCACGAGGACCAGGATGGTGCAGGCAGCGGGGGGAAGCCCGGCCTGGCTGCAGCCAGGTGCAGGGACCGGCGACACATGCATCCCTCCCAACCCAGGGTGATCCTTGTGCCGCCGCGTCCCGGGGGCCAGACGCACCTGGAGTCGCTCTCCCCAGCCACCGCCAGGTTGGACTGGTACCCCGCCACCCTGTCGCGCAGGCCCCGCGTGAGCTGCGAGCTGGGTGCGCGGTTCCAGCGCGAGCCGTAGTGAGCCCTGGGAGCAGGATGGACTTGGGGTGTTTGGGAGGTGGGCCTGGGCCACGGCTCCAGCCATGCGGTCGACGGGAGTGCCTGCGTCCGAGCAGTGCGCGGCGCGGCGTGCCCCAGACGCATGCAGCCCGCACCTGGCCCCACCATCAACGCGCCCCTGCGCCGCGCACCTCAGCTGCTCGTCGTCGGCCTCCTCGTTGGCCAGGTCCCGCGCCACCGCCTGCAGCTCCTCCACCGCCACCCGGCGCACCTCCTGGAGGCGGTCGGGGAGGGAAGGGCTGTGGCATTGGCACACGACCAGACGGGCCCAAGGGTTGGGAGATGGGAGGAGCAGGTTTGGATTGCGGATGCAGTCAACCATCGAAGGCAAAATCTTAAAAGCTGCATCGGAAGATGGCACCACCAGTCCTGAGATGGCTCCCCCACTATCACGATCCCCGTCCGTGCTTGCCAGGGACGCCTTGGCCTCCTCCCATGGTACGCATGTCATCCCTTGTCCCACACCTTCACTTGCTGGGCCACCTCCTGGAGGTGCTTCAGGCCCCCACTCCGCTCCACATCCTCAAGCTCGGCGCGGACAGCATCCGGTAGCGCCGCCACGGAGCCGGCCTCCAGGGCTTGCAGGGCCTGACGGTGGGGAGGAGGGGGCGATGGAAGTCGGACCAGTTTCCTGAGAGGGGGTGGCGGCGACATGAGCATGCAAGGCCGGCCATGCTCCTTTCCCGGGCTCCAGACGTGCACATCAGCCCTTCTCCACGAGACAGCGCCCCCCTCATCCGGTCACCACTCGCCTCGGGGAGGTCCCACTCCCTCAGCCGCAGCCGCGCCTCGTCGGATGCTGCGTCCAGGGCCTCCGTGGCTTTCCGGATCACGATGTCCACCATGTCTGTGTAGCGAGACAGCGCCTTGGCGCTGCGCGTTGGAGAGGAGTGTCACAGGGAGCCTGAGCGGCAGGTGCGGGCGCAGCGACCAAGTCCTCCCACCAGGACTTCTATGTAGACAATGGCCGGCTGGCATGGGGCATGCAAGATTTGGTCCATGCCAGACCAGAGTGCCACCCAGAAGACACAGCTGAGACTGCTTAAAGGAGCAAGGGCCTGGCGCTTCACTGGCCAGAGCGTACCCCACACCCTGCGGTCCGCGGGCACCTGGCCCTCCCTCCTCCCCGGGAACCCAGCCCCACCTGGCGTCTGGGATGACGGAGGAGAAGAGGTTTCTCACCTCGTCGTCCACCGCCTCCAGGTCTGCGGGCGCCACTGGTTTCACCAGGGAGGCCGGCGCGATGGGGGGCAGGTCCGCCTCGGCTGGCACGCGCTGCAAGTACACGGTGGCGTTCTCGCGCTCGGCCTTGGCCAGCCGCTGCGCCACCTGGCTCTCCTTGGCGGCCACGTTCTCCTGCAGCTCCTTGCTGGTGGCCTTGGCGTCCTTGCGCGCCCGGGCCAGCACGATCTGGGCCGCCTGGCGCAGGCGGGGGCAAGGGAAAACAGTGTCGTGAGGCCCATCGATGGTGCAGGGGACACCCTGACGTGCGCAGTTCCACTCACACAAGACCTGACGGCCATACAGGCACGGCCATGGGTAGGACAACTGCGCTGCACGGCACCGTACTCAATCCCTCATCAGACCCGTTACAGGCTTTTATGGCGCCCTTCCCTCACTTCGTCCCCCGGCCTCCCGCCCCAATCACCTTGAGACGGGCAATCTCCTGGGCCACCCCGGCGAGAGGGTCGGCGGCGGCCAGGGCCGCGCTGCTCTGCACGATGGCCTCCACATCGTACAGCATGGACTTGACCCCGGCGTGCGCCACCCATGACTTGTCAAAGTGGGAGGTGAGGGGCGCGGACGTCAGCAGGCGGGAGCAGTCGTCATAGTAGCTGGACACCTGCTTGGACAGCCTGTGGGGTTGGTTGTTTCCGTGCGGTGAGGGCGGCTCGGAAGTGGCTGCCAGCACGCTTGGCCTACCGGCAGCTGCACGATGCTCTCTGTAAAGCGTCTGAGCCGGCATCAGAGCAAGCGCATGTCCACTACAAAAGCGGCCCCACCACCAGGATGCTTCGCAGTATCACTCCCTGTTGAAAGCTCTCCCCCCAACCACACTCACCTGGCCAGCAGCGCCGGGCTCTTCCTGTCTGCGGCGGCCTTCTCAAACACGCACTCCTGCGCCTGGGCCAGCATCATGTGGCACAGCATGTCTGCCGCCTCGGGCGTCAGGTCCATGGGCGCGGGGCGCTCAATTCTGAGGCACGGCCCCTCCCGCAGCGCCGCGAAGTAGCCCGCCGCCTCCTGGAACACGCGCGCCGACTCGCGCAGACCCGCCTCGGACCGGCGCTCGCAGGCCAGGCCCTGCTGCGAGGCCACGGCGCCGAGGTTGAACAGGATGGCGGCGCGCTCGAAGTCGAGCGAGGCCTGCTCGGCGCGCTTGGAGGGCTTGAAGGCGTCCGCCCAGGAGAAGGTCAGGTTGACCCCCTCCTGAGACCTGGATAGGGGGAAGCGCGACTCCATCAGGGCCAGCATGCGGTAGTACTTGGACAGCGTGCGGCGCAGGTGCTGCAGGGAGCCGGACAGGTTGACGATGTCGTCGCGCAGGGACTGGATCTCCTGCATGTCGTCCCCAGCCTCCTCCGCCGCCTGTGGAGGAGGGTAAGGTGCCGGGAATGGGAGTAGGCCGTGGGCCGCGGGAACACACCGGCCGGCTGGTGAGTGAGACAGGGCCCTCCTGCAAGCAGCCACACCCCCGCCCGGATCACCCACCTGCACGCCGTAGGTGCCGGCCACATACGTGTTCACAGCCTTTCTCAGGTCCAGAGACTCCCCCTTCTTACAGTGCACCGCCAACAGGATGGTGCTGGTCATCGCGTCGTGGGTCAAGCAGAAGTGATCCGGCCCTCTCGCCACGGGCACAAGGGTGGAGGGGGGCACGACGATGGGTTTCGAGGTGAGAGTGGTGGACAGCGATTGCCTGAATTCACCTCCATCGACATGCCCGGTGCCCAGTGGTCCGAACGCGTTGCGGGGTGAGGAGGCTTCCCGGCTGCTGCGCATGCTAGCAGTCGATGCTGGTTCCCTCGTGTACCGTGATTTAATGACTGTGCATGGTTTAATGACACACATATTATAGACACTCTTGGGATGACGAAGCACGCAAAGGGGCCAAGTGCTGGCAAAAAAACAGATTGGAAGGGTGACACGTCCCAACAAAAGGAACCAGGAGGGGGTCATTGACTTTAGTTTTGGGGGCAAGTCTCCATACGATGCTGGTGGTGGGACACAGGCATGCAGGAGGGGTGGGAGGCCCCCCCCCTCCACGCTGCATCCCTCCACAGGTCAATCAGTGCCTGGAACAAGGGGCGTCCCAGTCGCCGCAGAGGAGAGATAAAGGCCAACATTGGGATAGTATGGAGGGTGGGGCATGCACGCAGGAGAGGGGGGATGTCCTCCTCGCGGCCCTGAAAGGGGTACAGATTGAGCCCTGGGTGCAGCTGTGAGGAAGACTGGATCCGCACCGGCTGGAACATGAAACAAGACGGGTAAGGAGGTTTAGACGGGATTCAACGGAGGGCTGGAGGGGCTCAGGCAGCCAGGGTGGGTGGGTGAAGCATGGAGTCGCACGGCCAGACCCCGAGAAAGGGCATGCATACCGACGCGCACACGCTCCGCCACACCCCTTGCATACGTGCCACCGCCAGCCAGCCAGAGGGAGAGGACGAAGACGAATTTCAGGTGCATTGGAAGCCATCGACCCGGAGCAGGGGCGGGGAGGGCGGCGGGGGCTTCAGGCGCAGGCCAGAGCTCGGGGCGCATGCCCCGCCTGGTAGCGCCTCTGCCACGCACAGGCGGTGGCGGGGTACTATCGCGCTCACGGCGGGGCTTGAGCGCGCGGGCGCGGGCGGCCAGCTGGGCGGGGTGCTTGTGCCAGGGGCAGCACTCGCCCGTGGATCTCGTTCAGTCCCATCACGGGGGAGGGGAGGGGAGGAGAGAGCAGTGTGGTAGGCGTGGCCGGGAAGTCGGCCAGAGCAAGGGTCCCTGCGCCTCGCATCGACGGCCTCAGCGCCGGGGGGGTCAGGGCCTCGACGCCCAACGCAGGGCCGCGCCCGTCAGCAGAGCAGGGGGCGGATGACCAGGAGGGAGCGCGTGCGCTGCATGCGCCCCGCCGAAGAGCTGCGCGGCGGCCGGGCCTGGCCGTCGGCGGCGGCGGCCTCTGGCTGCGGCGCGGCGGGCGCCGACACCCGCATGACGGGGGGCAGGCCGCGCCGGGTGGACCCCACGCGGTCCGTGGGCGTGGGGCTGGGCGGCCCCGACCCCGGAAGCGAGCAGGGCGCGCCAGACCCGGAGGAGCTCAGGTGCAGGGCCAGGGAATCCAGGATGCGGGCCACGCAGGCGATGGTGTTGGCCACCACCTGCGGGTCGTGCGCATCTGAGGAGACCATGAGCTCCAGCACCGCCAGCACGCCGCCGGACACCGTCGCCGCGGTGTCGTAGATGGGGATGTATATGATCTCGGCGATGCTCTCCAACAGAGCGCCTGGGGTGCGTGAAGGGTGGAGGGGCGGCCAGTCAGCGGCGGTACAGATGGTTGGGCGCTTTTCAGGGGGGGGGAGGAACCAACAGTCCTCGTCCAGTTCACTCGTCCACTTTATGCCAACGCCCACTTCCTCCTCCTTGCGTCCGCTCACCCTTCAGGCGGTCGCGCGGGTGGCACTCGGAGGGCAGCGAGTCCGCGCCCTGAACGACTTGCACAGATCCGTTCTCCCAGACCTTGCCCATGGGTCCCAGGAAGCCCAGCTGCACCCCCGTGTTGCGGCTGCGCAGGGTTGGAGGAGGTAGGGATGAGACCACGGCCCCAGAGCGGAAGTGGCCGGACCGCCAGGCTCAAGAAAGAACCTGCGTTCCTCACTCAGGCTGCGCACGAAAGGGTTCGTTTACAAGACCATTCACGCCAAAACGAGCTAGCCCAGCCTCCTCACAGTGAGGAATTCGCTCCATCCCAGTCTCCCTCAAACCGCCCCCTTACCACTGCATCTGGAAGTCGATGAGCTGCTGGTGGTTGGTCAAGCACATCTCTGCAGTCTTAAGGGCCTTGCTGCCCTCAGTCAGGACCGGGAGGTATGTCCATGCCTGAGATGAGTAAGGAGGGGCTGGTTACGCTCGTGCCCGCGGAACCTGGGAAGGATCACACGGGATCGCCTGAACCCAAGACCCGCACCTGAGCCAGAGCCAGATTCGTCGCCTCCGGTTCTGCAGCCAGGCGCCCGAAGAGTTGCGTCAACTTGGGGGAGATGTGTTGTTGCCAAGCATACTGGAAGGCAAGGGCCGAAGGACGCAGCCGCGGGTGCGGGGGAGGTTCGCACGGTGGGGACAGAAAGCGTGAGTTCGGCGATAGATTGGCAGCAGACCGTGTCCACCCCTGACGACATCTTAGTGTCCGTGCGTCAGCAACCGGCGCCCGCGTACAAGGACCCCGAGGCACGGCGAGGGGCAGAACAAGTGTGACCGCTAACTCGAAGCGATGAGAAGGTGCGTCAACAAGCTAAGACGCTAAAGCTTATTACGCTACAAAAGATGGGGGCGAGAACTCTCGCTGTGCAGGCCGTCATTAAGACCGGAGCTTCGCTCGGGGGCTGACCCGTCGAAGCAGAAAATCGCAGCGGATCTTCCTTTCTTCCCCCGAAGATATTTTGCGAAGATCGCAAGGACTTCCCGGCCTCAGCATGCAGGAACATTCCAATTGACCCCCTCCGCTGTCTGATTAGTCGTAATGCCACCATCCAAGTGTCCGTGAAGGTGGAGGGTCCAAGCTGGAGTATCTGCCAAGTTTGTCTGCCTGCAATCGGAGGACGGCGATGTGGCTCGGAAGACTCTCGCATCCATTCTCGAAGAATACGAGGAGTTTGTCCCGCCCTTTAAGCGAGCAGACCTTGCATGCTAAGTAGATTCCCAGAGTCCCATCCAACGAGCTAGATAGGACTCTCATTCCTTGCATGCGCATGATGGCAGCTGAACATGGCTCGGTAACACCACTGCCGGCTGGCAGCATCGTCTCTCATACTACCATGCAGCCACTGAAATTATGAATGCACCCAGAGCATTGATTTCCCCGACATGACCAGATGATATGTTGCACCAGAACGTCGACCGGCATTGCCAGATTGTCCGCCTGGGCGCAGTCTCGCAAGTCACACATGGATGAAGAATGGACGAAGTGGGATCGCCTGGTGGTTTCACTCAAAGGACCGATCGAGTTACCCCACGCTTGAAACTCGACTCTGAATACGAAGATCACGCTCACACCATACGTGGGCATGCCATTAAGGACGGTACGGAGCACCTGCTCAAGAGCGGCCCTGCACCTTACCAGGTGAGTTTCAGGGGAGTCCTTCTGTCACAACGTGAACAACAGAGGAACACAATGGTCTCATTGCAACGGCACGTAGGATTGTATTGGATCGAACCGTGACGGGCCTCGAAACCTGTATCACCGTACTGTGCGAGACACCGACACCCGCCGTGCAAGGCCTGTTTGTTCTTCTTTTTGGCGCGGCCTTCTACTCTTACTGCAAGTACTTCTTCAGCCTGCTTCCTCTCCCAACCGTCCCAGCCTGGCACATGTGAGAGGGGTGTTTCGAGGACATCTCACGCCGCAACCTCTTTAGTAGAGAGCTTGGGGGATGATTTGCTGGCACAAAGGCAAAGTATGACCTCTGCGCAACTGTACACCCCCCTTTCCGCTCCTATACACCACCAGATGGAGCGGAACGCTCACCATGATGCCGTCCCTTGTGTTCTTTGTGCTGGCCAGCTGGACTGACCCAGGCATTGTCACACCCGAGAATGTGGAGCAGTACAGTCGGCAGTACAGGTTAGATGGTGTCCTGTACCAGCCCCGCACATGTGCGACCTGCAACATCCCCAAACCTGCGCGCAGCAAGCACTGTCGGGTGTGCAACAGGTATGTGCTGGGGCTGGGCCACGGCGTCGCAGGAGCACCACATAGTGTGTTTCATTGTAGGCTGGGAACTGGTTTATAGCCGCAGCATGGGGCTCCCTCGGTCTGCGTGATGCAACAGCAACTCGGAGCTTGCTGGACATTGTATACAAGCAGGACTGCCCGCCACGTGGCGGCCAGGTGTACACACTTGTGCCATACCCTGCTCTCTCTTCTCTACCAGGTGCATAGGGCGCATGGATCACCATTGCATCTGGTTGAACACCTGCATCGGCACCCGGAACCTGCGATGGTTCCTGGCCTTCCTGGCATCCACTGCTGCCATTTGCATCTATGGTACGCGTGCTGGCTGGCGTGTTGCATCGGCATGCGAGGTGTCTGGCCCAGGGCCCTTGCTCTCTGGCCAGGCTGTGCCTGGCGATGTGCTGCGAGTGACGCACACCTGGTCAGCTTGCAGGGCATGCGACAGGCTGTGTCCCAGCCAGCCAGCCCGTTCCTCCACCCTCGCACCCCAAGGCGCTGTGCTGGGGGCCAGGATCATGCATGGACACATGGGTGTCGAAGGCGCGTGGAAGCTGGCCAGGGTACGGCGGGGCTCTGGGCGTCTGGAGTACGTCTCGGACTCCGCGCTCACCACGCTGCGATACGTACTGGAGCGCTACCCGGTGCAGGTGGGGCTTCGCGGATGGGTGGATCGTGCTATGCTGTTGTACAACGGCGCACGGGTGGGAAGGAGCCATGCTCGTCCCGAACTGCGCTGGAGCGCATCACTCCGAGGCCTCTAATGCCAGTGGAGGGCTGTGTCGTGCACGAGGACACCCTGGAGAACACTGGGCGAGGTCGCACTCAGTCGAGTGCATGATAGTACAACACTATGGCCCCTAGTTCCTGCCTTCCAACACACCCAACCACTGCAGTTCTGCCTCACCTTCTTCCTGGGCGTCATGGGCTGGGTGCTCACAGGTTTCCTGGGGTACCACATCTTCCTCACCCTCAACGGGACCACCACCAACGAGGCATCCAAGTGGCGGGCGCTGCGCAAGGACCTGGCGCGGCAGGCGGCGTTCGACCCGGCCGGCCTCCACCTGGACCTCGCTCCCGACAACGCCTACGACTGGGGGCCGGGGCGCAACCTGCTGGATGCACTCGTGCCCCGCGTGCCCTGCGCAAAGGACTCCAAGCTGTGCTGACGTGCGCTGCCCTTCTGGTTTCTCGCCAGTGATGAGTGCCGGTTGGCATTGGTGCCTGGCATGCCTGCCACAATTCCCAGTGACCAGCTCAGAGACTCATCACAACAGCATCGACAGAGCACCACAGCGGGCTTCAGAGGAGCTTGAGGTGCCCTGTGATGGCGTCAAAGGCGGTGCGGGGTGCTGGGCCGATGGCCAGCACCGTCCTGGATCCTGGCGCCACCTGCGTTCTCCCTGCGTCCTGCACTGTGTATGTCACCAGGCCAGCTGCCCTGGCCTTCTTCCCCAGCGCCAGCTGATGGTGGTGGCAAGAGGGTGGAGTTCTTGGATGAGTGGGCTTTGCATGGGTGGGAAACTTCTGGACTACCCCATGTGTCCTCATGACGAGTGGTGGAATAGAATCACCCTGGAAGACCCTTGCCCCCTGTGGGGCAGCAACCCCGGCACACACGCCAGGCATGGGGTCATGCATTGCCCAATTCACGCCCCACTCACGCCCCGCACGCCCTGCGGCCTCACCAGGGCTGCAGTCGAATCGGCGCGCAGGCAGATCTTGGCCTGGCCCCTGCTCTCCCATGCGTCCAGGGCGTGCGGCGCCCGGAGGGTGGCCAGCTCCACCGCGCCGACAGCCGCGTGTGCACACTGAGCGCCTATCTTCCCTTTGCCCATCTTCAGTTCATCGTTGACCTGTAGCAAAGATACAGGGGTATGGACGCCAAGGCATTCATCGTCCTCCCTGCACATGCAGTCCAGTGCAGCTGGCCGCCAGGAGGTCCCAGCATATGATCATCGACACATGCAAGCGATGTGTCCTCATGCAGGAGTCCGATGGACCCCGTTCCGATCCCAAGCCCGATGCACGCACCACTAGAACCATCTTGTGCTCCTCGCTGTGCTGAGCGTAGCTTGAGGCATCCCCGCCGCGCGCCGGGCCCTCGTCCTGCAGGAGGCTCGAGGTGGGCTGTGAGACTGCAGAGCTCCGATCCACTCCCTCCCAGCGAAGTTCCGGCCAGTCAACCGATCAGCCTACCATCTTCAAGAGTCTGTCAAGGACGTGTCGCAATGTAAAGCCCAGCAGGACGCAGCCGAAGCGGATGGAGACGTCCCACAACCGCGCCATCGAGCTAGATGCAGGGATGCGTGGGCCAGATGCGATGCTCAGGGTATTGAGAAGCGGACTCAAGCCGTTTGTGATGACATGTTGCGCTTCATGAAGGCAGCAGAATGATTGGCTTGAGAGTTTTGGGCGCAAAACGTTCGCACACAGCTCACGAAGTTTATATACCGTGCAAATGGCAGAAAGTTTCATGTGCGAAATTGGCCCCCTAACTGGGGGATTAGCAATGCTTGTCATCGGCAGGTCATTGGTTCAAACCCGATACGGCCCTGAAGTGGGTTGGGTCGTTAGCTCAGTGGTAGAGCAGCCGACTGCAGTATTACTTTTGTCTTTTTCTAGGTGTCCTGTTCTTTGTTGACCCTCCCCGCTCTAGATGGTATTTCGCCTGGCTACGTGGTCAATTCTGCGCTGCGCACTCCCAGTCCGTCGTCGGGGTTGCATCGCCAGTGCCGTTCTCGCGCCCTGGAACAAACCAACGTTCGGGACCTATCAGGCGTGCTGGTTTGAACAGACCGCTAATCTGTATACATTTTGTTGCTGAGGTTCTGCTCTTGGGTCTGTACCCTGTCGGACCCAAGTCGGTGGGCCCGTGTCCGCGATGCCTGTTGGGCACGGAAGCAACGAGGGGGGTGAGAGGGAGTTCTCCAATTCGCACGCCGGCCCTTCCCACCCCCCCGGTAAAGCCAAGTGTCTGGCCACAGTTCGTACCGACTATGCTCCGGGGGACCAGTGCTACGTCCTACACCTGGCCCAAACGCCCGGAGAGGCGGTGGTGGCTGCCGCCCTCTCCACCCGCACAGTGAAGCTCTTTTCCACAGAGTGAGTCATGATGCGGGGGCTCAGGGATGCGTCCTCGGGAGGATGTGTCGAGAACAAGGATGGGATGCATGCCCCAACATGCAAGGCTGCTGTCCACACACCCATCATCTCATGGTGAAATGTCGAGGTTCCTCCTTCATCACGAGACCTGATGCACCCCCACTCATGTGCATTGCCGATGGCCTCCCCTAAGCATGCGTGCACGCTTGGCCCCGCTGCCCCAGACACACCATCCTCCGTGCCCTCCAAGTGGCTGTCGGCCTGCCTGGCCCTTGAGGCACCCAAACCATGCAAGGAATTCCGCCAGGCCCCGGGATTCCTACTCTTCCCAACACACCTGCACCACACGCCACACCTCAGCCTCCTGCCCTCCCCCGCCCCGCAGCGCCTCGGGCCTGCGCTTCACCGGCGACCTGAAGGCCCACACGCACTCCATCACGGGCATGGTGAGCGCGGCGCACAGCCCCGCAGCCCTGTACACCGCCAGCGGGGACGGGGTGGTGCGGGCCTGGGACCTGCGGGCCGGCGCCGTGGCGCAGGAGTTCCGGGCCGGCTGCCGGGGGGAGGCGCTGAGCGTGGCCGTGGGGCCCACGCTGGTGGCGGCCGGGGTTGCGGACAACCTGGCCCTCTGGGACGCCCGGTCGGGGCGCCAGATGGCGCACTGGGGTGACACACACGCCCAGGACGTGACCGCCGTGCAGCTGCACCCCGACGCGCCGGCGGCCCTGGTCTCCGGGTCGGAGGACGGCCTGCTGGCCGTGTTTGACCTCTCGGCGGGACTGGGTGAGGGGCAGGGTGTGTGGTGGGGGGCTGGCTGGTTGACGCTGGTGTATGGGATCCACCACCTGCCCTGCCTGTGGGGGGCTTGGCGGTGGGACGTCCCGGCCCCCAGGTCCACAGGCGGTCGGCTCCGTGGGGTGTGTGCAGATGATGCGCTGGCCGAGCTGCCCTCTTCTCCCTGCCCGGAAGCGGCTGGTGCAGCAAACGTGCAGGCATTAGCATGCGTGTCTCTCCAAGGGCCAGACTCCTCGACTGCATCCCACCCTCCACCCCCCTCCACCACGCAGACGAGGACGAGAGCTTCCAGGCGGCTCTCAACATCGACAATGCCGTGGCGGCCACGGGGTGGTACGGACAGGGGGGGACCAAGCTGTGGTGCACCACCGGGACCGAGACCCTGCACCTATGGGAGTGGCAGGCCGCCTGCAACGAGGAGGGCGGAGGTGAGAAACCTGGCTGGTGGGCTCCCGACAGTGCGGTTGTGTGGTGTTTGGATGGATGGTGCTCTCAACATATTGGGGCGAAAGTCTTTGTGCCGTTCCTCTCTGTACCTGCAAGGCAGCTCCCGCCAGAGACGCTGTGTGGCACCAGAGTATAGTGCCTCCCTGCCCCGCTTCAGGTGGCCAGGGCTCCCTGGCCGACGTCGCGGACGCTCGCGCGCAGCTGTCCGCGCTGACACCCGATTTCGAGGGCGGCGTGTCATACCTGGTGGGCTGCAGCTACGACGCAGCTTCCGAGACGCTGGGTCTGATGGGGGGCAGCCTGGAGGGCGGCCTGGGCATCTACCCCGTCGTGGACTCGGATGCCGTGGCTCCCCTCAGGGCGCCGCTGAGCGTGCTGGCCGGTGGGCACGCAGACATCGTGCGGTGCGCCCTGCACCTGGGCGGGGGGCGCGTGGTGACGGGGGGTGAGGACGCACGGGTGTGCCTGTGGGACCTGACGCAGAATGGCGTGAGTTCCAGCCAGGGTGCTGGCTCTGTGGGGCCGGCCGCGCTCCCCGCCCCGGGGCGGGGCTCCAAGCACGCGCCGCAGCACACGCGGCGGACCAGCCCCTACTGAATCCCATCTGCGAACAGAGGGTTGTGGAATGTGTGGGATGCAGGTTGCCGAGTGTCTAATCTGCGTGTAACCATCTCAAGCACCCGCCAACGGTCCCGCGCCTTCAAAGCCACAAAATTGAGGCCAGGGAAGCTCGGGAAGCCTCTCTTCGCGCGCGCGTCGCCGAGGGCGTCAGCCTCAGATTGAGGGGTGGGTGCAGTGTACGATGCCCAATTGCCCTGCACTGTGGTCTAGATTGAAGCTCATCAACTGTATCCGTGCAAGGCTTGACATCCATGCCAGGCGCTGTGACCATGCATGCAATTCTGCCCACCGCTGCCACCAGGCCGGTGGCATTGACGCGTGGTGCGCCCTTCCGGGCGCGGCCCCCCCATGATGCGAGCCAGAAGGCCTTGGCCCGACGATTGCATACCATGAGGAACGAGAGGGCCGGAAAGGTGGTGTGTGCTGCCGCGGCAGACGACTCGCCCGACGGTAACCCCGCTCCGAAAGCCCTGGTGAGCACAGTGATGGATTTCAGGAGGACGATGTCCTGGGCACCATCCTTTCGTGTGCATGCAAAACTATTTTCCGTCCCATCTATGATGCCTGCCCTGCCTTATGACCACCCTCCCCCTCTCCCAGGCTCCCTCCCCACCGACCACGTCCCTGGGAGAGATGGCCTCGTACTACTTGTCTGTACAGCCCCACCTCTTCCAAGAGACTGTGGACCGGCAGTTCAGCCTGCTCCAGGAGGCAAAGGAGAAGGACCAGGCCAGCGAGAGTGGGGAGGGCACGAGCAGCACCTCCACAGATCTGGTTCTGTCCAGGTAGAGGGGGTGCAAAGGAATGGCTCGCTGCCTGCACATGCTCTGCGTGCTTTTATACCTTTGCAGAGCGATTAATCGTGACCATTCATACCACGACCCTCTTGCCTTGCCAGTATCAGCTATCTCCTTGCGGGCTCCGTGGCCCAGACCTCCCCTATCCCTGCTGATTTGCACGCTCACGCACACCTCAACCCCCCTCCTTTTCTTCCTCGCAGGCGCATGGCCGAGGTGCAGCGTGCAGAGCGCGGCCGCGCGGTGGAGGACCTCATGTACGTCTGCATCCTGGGCAAGTTTCGGGACCTGGGCGTGGACATGCTGCCCCGGATCGAGGAGGTGCAGGAGAGCTCCGACACACTGCGCGCGCTGACCGAGGGCGTGCACTCGCGCGAGGCGCTGGACATGGTGAAGGAGCACGTGCTGGGCGTGCTGGGGCCCGCCTCAATGGCCTACGCTGCCACCAAGATCAAGATGTCCGCCCTGCAGGCCGCCCAGGTGTGTCTTAGTGGAGGGTGGTGTGGCGCGTACCCTGACTTTAACGTGACATTTTGGGGCTGCAAAGCTCAGGCTCTGGCTTGCGAGGGCGGTGCAGCAGCTCAGGCTCCGAATGATCATCAAACACACCCTGCCATGACAGGTCTACGCTGCCTCGGTGCTCTTTGGGTACTTCTTGCGGAGGGTGGACACCCGCTTCCAGCTGGCCAAGTCGCTGGACATGCTGCCGGAGAGCCAGGAGGAAGCTGTGGCCAGGCTTGAACGCCTCTTCTCCGCGGTGTGTTTTGTGGAGTCTGGATCGCAGGGCGGTTGGACACCCTGGTATTGAATGCTCCGCCTGTACATGCTGTGGCCGGTTGATTTAGGGGAAGACGTGTGTTTCTGACTGCTCGTGTAGTTCAGGTTGCCAGAATGCTCAACACTGGTCTCCGACATCACCTCAACAGCAGCCCCCCTCCCATACTCTCGACCTGCAGGCGGACGACGGGCTGCCAGAAGGTGCCACGCCCCACCCTGAGGTTCCAGGGAGCGACGCCGCGGCTGCCAAGCCGGCAGAGGAGAGTGAGGCAGCCAGCAGCGACAGGCCGCCCGCCGACCAGCCGCCGCCGACCTCGGCCCTGGTGAAGAAGACAAAGGGTGCGCTGCGGCGCTACGTTGAGTCGTTTGACCAGCAGACGATGCTGGACATGGCCAAGTGGGTGGGGACTGGGGAGGCAGAAGGATTGTTCATGGCGGGGTAAACAGACTGCGGGCGTTCCTTACCTTGCTGGATGCATAGCACCAATGGCTGCAGCTGTTGTGTATCCTTGGCCTTCCCCGGCCTGACGTCCAGGCGCCCCGCCTCCGGCATGAAGTAATCTTCAATCATGCTCCCCCTCGATGTTCCGCCTGTTCACCGAGCGCAGGCTGGTGACGCAGGAGGGCGGCGCCTTGGTGGAGCGCCAGACCAAGGCACTGTTTGGCGACCCCAAGGCGCTGCAGCGCCAGATGCAGGAGGCGGTGGGCAAGGATATCGCCTCCCTGGACGACCTCATGGAGCGCGTGCAAAAGGTGAGCTCGTTCCTTGGTGCGCAGCTCATTTTGGAGTTTTTGCTAGCGCTGTAGGGCCGGGGCAGGTGGCATTGGGATGCTGTGCGCCACCCCAGTGTGCGAAGGAGCGAGCTGCGCTCCCGCGCCGCCCCATCCATTGGTCTGTTCAACCCACACCGTGCATCAACCCCCAGGCGGTGGCCGACGGCAAGGTGGAGACCCTGACCCTGACAGTGGGGACACAGCGCCGCGCTGTGCTGGAGGCCGTGGCATACGGCGTTTTCCTGAGGGATGTGGAGTCCTGGGTGGACGGCGAGTATGCGCTACTGTCTCCCCACAGGGGTGGGGGTTCTGCGGGCCTGTCCCTGTGAACGTGCTCATACGTGCATGCTTCCTTGTCTATGCTCAAAGCTGTGTGACGTGAAATGCACAACGAGCGTGGTGCAGAGGGTGACTGTATGGTTGAGATGATGGCTTGGGGGGTGGAGCGTGGCGGAATCCGTGGCATGGAGTCTGCATGTCGACACAGCACTACAAGCACCCCTCCTGTGCTGGTCCACGTCCATCAGTTTAAAGGGTGCTGTGATCGTCAATTCTACTGCATGCTGACCAGACCTTCGGAAACCGATGGCGGCCAGGGAACAGCATGCCGCACATGGAGGAATAGTGAAGCGCGTGCTACGGTACGTCGCACATGGGCAGCTTCAAGACTCCATGGCAAGGCAGAGCGCAGAGCAGGCATGCTGGTGCGCCAGGGCATGGTGTGCCCCCTTGCTGTCCATCACCAGGGCAGCAGACCTAAAAGGTCGAAACCTCGTGAGCCCCTGTCGTGCCAGTGCCGAGAGTCTGTAGGGCAGAGGACGGTGCCAGGGACGGAAAACCTGACAGCCAGATGCTCCTGCACCGTTGAGCGGGGTCCCTGCAGCACGTCCAAACCAGGTCAGGTGCGGTCCACGACCTCTATGGCTTGCTCCGCAATGGACAGCTCCTCATCCGTGGGAATCACCAGCACCTGCACCTTTGCCCCCGGCGCCGTGATGTTGCCCGCCACCCCGTCCACGGCCGCCTTATTACTTTCTTCGTCCAGCGCGATGCCATACCACTCCAGCCCCTCCAGCAGGAAGGCGCGCAGGATGGAGCTGTTCTCCCCTATGCCGGCGGAGAAGATCAGGGCATCCAGGGGGCCGCCCATCTGGAGCGCGTAGGCGCCAATGTACTTGCGGATGCGGTGCCGCCACACGTCCAGCGCAATCCGGTCGGGGGCGCTGCCGGCTGCCGCGCCGTCGATGACAGCGCGCAGGTCGGAGTGCCCGGTCAGGCCCAGGAACCCACTCCGCTTGTTCAGCAGCGCATCCACCTCCGCCCCGGAGTGGCCTTGGCCCAACAGATACGTCACAATGGCAGGGTCGATGTCGCCTGAAAGGGGATGTGATGAGTGGGTGAAGCAGTGGAGAGCAGCAAGTTGGCATCGTGCATTAAAGCTCGTTTTCGATGCTGCTAGAACGGCATGGGCGAGAGCGCAGAGCCACAAATGGGTGTTGCATCATATGAGTGGTGGCAGCATTTTGGTGCTATCATCTTTGAGACTTGCGGCACTCGGGCACAATCTCAACTGGTTCCATTTAAAGTGTGGACACGGGCCATCTCATCGTCGCGCTCCCCCGATGTCCCGCCCAGCACAAGCCACACCTCCAGCTGTCCCCACCCCTGTCCAGCTCACCGCAGCGGGTGCCCATGACCAGGCCCTCCAGCGGAGTCAGGCCCATGGTAGTGTCCACTGACTGGCCGCCGCGCACAGCACACATGCTGCTCCCAGCCCCTGCACGCAAACCAAAAAGGAGGACAGAGAGGCAGGGGTCACTGACCAATGCTGTATTGCATGCGGCAAGTTTCCATGTTCTTCATGCACTATGATATCTTCATTTGGTGCCGCTGGACGGAATGTGGAGTCACTCACTTCCCCGGCATCCACCCATGCATGCAGCTTCATCCTCATCCGCCCCCCCCCGGGGCTCCCTTCTCCCCGCGCTGCATACCTAGATGGCAAATGATGGCATTCAGGCTCTCCACGGGCTTGCCCAGGGTCTTGGCTGCCCGTGGCACCAGGTACTTGTAGGAGCTGCCGTGGAAACCATACCTGGTGTGGGTGGATGTGAAAGCTCGTGGGTTACTGCGATACGCTTGTGCTGGCAGGAGCTGTTTGACAAGGTTCTGAATAAAGGTACTTTGATCTGTGTACAATCGGTGCAGGCCTGCTGCCCCAGGCAACCCACCGGGGTCCCAGCCAACTCCGCAGCACACCTCACCATTCCTGCACTCACAGACACTGGCGACAACCCCCTCCCCCCCTCCCCTCCACATCCTCTTGAGGATAATGAACGCCTCACCTCCTGACTGCCTGCTCATCGTACAGCTCCTTGGGCAGGGCATACATGTAGGCAGCGGGGGCCATGGTTTGGTGGAAGGCGGTGTCAAACACGGCGACGTGGGGGGCCGCGGGGAAGGTGGCCATTGCAGCCTCGATACCCTGGAGGCCGGCGGGGTTGTGAAGCGGGGCCAGGCTGATAGCCTTCTCGATCACGGCCTTCACCCCGTCGTCGATGAGGACCGGGGCGCTGATGTCCAGGCCATGCACCACACGGTGGCCCACGCTGTGCACGCTGCGGGTAAAGCTGGAGGAAAAGGTGTCTGCCAGGAAGCGAGATACCAGCCCCAGGGCGTCCTGGTGGTCGCTGAAGCCCTCCTGCAGGGTGACACTCCCGCCCTCCGCCGTCTTGGCCTGCCAGGTGTGGGGGGGGTGTTGGTGAAGGGTCCGTGGGCGAGGGATTCATCGAGACCTTGGGTACCATTTCCAAATCACATGATCTCACGACACCCGCTACTACATGACCGAGGGCAGATGACGTGGGGTGAGATCGGCGATCATGCACGGCACGACGAGGACAGAGTCTTGAAAATCGACGCAGATTTCAGATCGTATACCCATCCTACCTTCATCCTAGAGTTGGCAGTGTCGCCGATGCGCTCGCACAGTCCGGAGGCGAGGGACTCCAACTCCCCATTGCCTAGCGCCTGGAACACCTTGAATTTTAGGGACGAGCTGCCCGCATTCATAACCATCGTCAGATTTTTTGCGGGCGCCATCGTGCGGGCCCGCGGTCTCTGGGGTTCTCAAGGGGGGGGCAAGGTGAAAGGAGGGCGGTGCATGCAGTCTCTATGCAAGATAATGGAGCACACCGCTTTGAATCATCCAAGGCGAGGAAGTAAGGAAACAGTCGCTGAAAGGAGCCTCATCGATTTAACCAAAAGAGAATTACATATGTGTAGTGTGTAGTCATGCAACATGCACACGCACGTGGGTCGCGTGAGCCGGTTGCCGAGATGACCACCCTCCCTCCCTCGTGGCTGCTCGACTATATGTCTGCCCGCCGCATGCGCACGCAACCTTGATCAATTGTCAAAATCTGCTAGGAAAAGGGTTTTGTTCTCAACGCTATCTGATCTCATCATCGTGCGCCTTCGGGGAACGAAACTTTAGAGCTGCAGGTCAGATTTCGGCACGCATCCTCGATCTTTTTCGACAGACTGTTCACCGATACCCCAGAAGCCAGGAGTTCTGGTGTTTCAGGATGCGGCCTCCCGTCGCATCTCTCAGGGGAGTTCGCCGTGCGTTGTCCTCCCCTTGGTAAGCATCGGCCTCGCCATGGCCCTGCCCACGCACGTAGCCCATGCATGCTTGGCGACCATGGACCGGCCTGATGCACCTACTCGCGTACTGTGATGCTCCTAGCGCCATTCAAACCATGATCTATATATTGTACCTGCTGTAGGCATCCGAGGTGGCAGTGTCCTCGTGCCGCCTTCGGCAGCCTGACAGACGACGCTGACACCGTCTTCTGCACAAACGTGTCCGCGCTCCAAGGTAGCTCCCCCGTGCTGCTGGGCCTCCTGGACTACTTTCAGCGCCAGACGCCGCATGTTGGATTTTTCCAGCCCATCGGGGCAAACCCCCTGAATGGAGCGTCCCGGTACACCGGCGAGCCTAAGCACGTCGCACTGTGAGTTATGCTGGGAGTCGCCATGCAGTGTTTAGAACCTTGCTATGCCGCCCTGCTGCTTTGTTACATGAATCGAGACTGGGACCCATGCCCGGCCCTGGCCGCCTCTGACGTGGCTGGCATGCCTCTTCTTGATGAGCACCCCGCGAACTGAGGTTGCTTGGCAGAGCCTGCCTGTGCCGAGTCCCCACACTCCCTCCTCATGGCCTCGCCACCCAGGATGAAGCACGCCATGGGTCTGAAGGACCCCTCTGAGAGCATGTATGGCGTGGCAGAGGAGGAGGCAAAGCGCCTGTTGACCCTGGGAAGATTCGATGAGCTCATGGACAGGGTAGGTGGTGGATTGAAGGAGGCAGCACTCCGGGGGCAATTTGTGGTCTTGCTTCATGCCTTGATGCGGTCCAGTTCTTTCACCTGCTTGCAGTCAAACATGCCTCATACCCAGTAGGACGCCTTGCCAGTTCGTGTGTCTGATTTTGAAACACCCCCCC